TTAACCTGACACCCCAGGTCTAAGTTTTAGCAGAAATGGTCCAGCTGTTTACACACAGACCACTGAGAAAATGGCTTTAATAAATGATTAACCCGAATGTTGAGACAGACCTCACTTTCCTAGCTCAGGTTTAAACCAAGGAGTTTAAGCTGGGCCTCAGTCAAGTGTGGAAAAAGTCACCTAGATGTTTGGTAGGGTGAGGAAGTGAGCATGGCTTGAGAGAGATTGCTCCTGGGAAAAATGCAAGGCCTTTATCTCAGCACACACACACACACACACACACACACACACACACACACACACACACACACACAATCCTCTTCCCAATATTTTTTTCTCCACTTCTAGTACAATGTTCTCTCTGAGACCCATTTCATCAAAGGAAAACATTTCCTCAGCAGACACAGGACCCAATGTACATAAAGGCAGCACCCACACCAGCTCAGACTCTTGGCAAGCCCTTCAGCCTCTCTGAACTCACCTTCCATTTGTCAATGGGGCGCTCACTCCCACATCATGCTCTGAGTAATCAATGAGAGACTGTTGTATGGAGTGTGAACTTCTATACAAGTGACCTATTGTTATGAAATACACTGAGAACATTTTCATATTGTAAGAGGAGTATCTGGACAGGCCTTCATGAGAAATGAATTAATGACATTAATGCTCAGGGGGGCAAGGCAAGCAGGAGAATGCAGTGGGTAACCTGAGTCTGATCCCTGGGATCCACGTAGTAGGAGAGGGCTGACTCCTTCCTGAAAGTTGTTCTCTGATATCCATGTGTGTGCTGTCCCATGCACACATGTTCATGCGCATGCCCTCCCCCCATGAAATAAATAAATGTAATAAAAATGAGTGCTTAGCTTTAGAGCTCGGTTGAGGACAGCTTGCCTAGCACGTTCAAGGTTCTGGGTTCTATCCCCAACATTACAAGATTTTTTTTTTCTTTTCTTTTCTTTTTTTTGGTTTTTCGAGACAGGGTTTCTCTGTGTAGCTTTGCGCCTTTCCTGGAACTCACTTGGTAACCCAAGCTGGCCTCGAACTCACAGAGATCCACCTGGCTCTGCCTCCCGAGTGCTGGGATTAAAGGCATGTGCCACCACTGCCCGACAAAACCGGCTAAGAAAAAATTTTAAAAATAGCAATTACACAGCATTGGGGAGGCAAAGACAGGCAGATCATTGTGAGTTCGAGGCCAGCCTGGTCTGCAGAGTGAGTTCCACAACAGTCAAAGCTACACAGAGGAAATCCTGTCTCAAAAAAAACCAAAAATAAAATAGTGATTAAAAAATACTGGGCCCATTTCTAGATCCTTTCTTGTATTAGCCAGTCCCCACACTAACACCATGAGGTAGGTACAATCGTTGTCACTTCTATTTTAGAGATAAAGAACGGAGGCATAATTGCTCCTTGGGCTTCCACCAAGATCCTGTACAGAAACTGCAGCATGGACAAGTGACATACCCCAGGTGTTGTGGGATATTTATAAACTGTACGGTTGTGATTGGTTTAATAAAGAGCTGAATAGTCAATAGCTAGGCAGGAGAAAGGACAGGCAGGATTTCCAGGGAGAGAGAGAGAGGGAAAGGAATGTAGGTGCACAGGATTCGCCAGCGACACGCAGGGAGAGCAGGATGTGCAGTACAGAGATGAGGTTATGAGCCATGCGGCAGAAGGTAGATGAAAAAATATGGGTTAATTAAGTTATAAGAACTAGTTAGGAACAAGCCTAAGATAAAGCTGAGCTTTTATAATTAATAGTAAGTCTCTGAGTCATTATTTGCAGGCTGGTGGTCCCGACGAGAGAGTATTACTACACCTAGGTGTCACAGCTAGTGAGTGGTGAAGCTGAGATATGAACCTGGCGAGTGTGTTCTGGAGGCCCTGCTCGTACACCTTATGTACTTCTATTAGGAAACGGACTACTAGCATTTAACATAGCACAAAGGAGTTGACCTGAGCTATCATGCTAAATGATTCCATGACCCTTCTAGTTTGGCTTATATTGTTTCCACTCCAAGTATCTTGACCCCATGAAACTGCAGATTCATCGTGTAAGATCTCAGCCAGTAGCCGGGCGGTGGTGGCGCACGCCTTTAATCCCAGCACTCGGGAGGCAGAGCCAGGCGGATCTCTGTGAGTTCAAGGCCAGCCTGGGCTACCAAGTGAGTCCCAGGAAAGGCGCAAAGCTACACAGAGAAACCCTGTCTCGAAAAAACCAAAAAAAAAATAAAATAAAATAAAAGATCTCAGCCAGTGAAGGCTCTCCTCCAACCACTTGTTTTTTCTGCCTCCACGGCATGCTGCACTCAGCATTCCCAGCCTGATCCCTATTGCACCAGGGAGAGTTGCAACATTTGTGTGTTCCTATAGCCAGATTTCTGCTTTTTGGTTCAAGCTGGAGGACAGGCACCAGCTCTGGCCGCGGCACCAAGGCCAGTCCTTGTAGGCACTCAAGGTATACGTGTGTGTGTGTGTGTGTGTGTGTGTGTGTGTGTGTGTGTGTGTGAACTGATCTCCAACCACTGCCTTCACGCACGTTCCATGCTGGGCTCTTAGGCTCTCTTTGCAGCTTTCCCAGTACATGGGACTTTCTCTGAACTTCAAGCTGTGAGGTGGTCAAAGGGGCAGATTGAGAAACTGGTGGCAAAAGGACAGCTTTAAGATTTCAGCCCCTTGATTAACAATTCCATGACAACTCTCGGCTAGAAATCAGTTTACACAGCACTGACACAGTTTTTCTACAACTACCTTGTCATTCAAGCCGTCGCACAATTGCTGAGTTAGGAATTGAGCCAAAGCTAGACCCACAAAAGCCTCCATTGACAGAGGTGGAGCAGGGAAGAGGGATTAAAGTGGAAAAACAGGAATTTAGAGGTTTGGCGAGAAACTCCCTCCCAGGTCTAAACTTTCTTGTCTGGCTGAAAAACTACACACATTTGGCATCTGTGTAGAGGAACAGGGCTTTTGTATCAGGAGCGGTAGAAGTAAGCACGTCACAGGTCAACGGCTGGTCCTGGGTCAACAACCACACATCCTAACACCTGTGTGACACCTGGGACTGTCTGCAAGGGCTGTGGGTCTATTCCAATGGGCCTTGTGCTGAGTTTGTACATGTTTCTGTATAAAAAGGGGAAGAAAGAGTTGTGCTGAGGGTTCCTAGGGGGAAGAGCAGACCGGGCCCCTTCCTCTGCCTTCTTGTCTCACTGCCTACCCTGGAGTCTAGACTATGTACCCAGCACTGGGCTGTGTGAGCAGAGTGCTCTTTGGTAATGTTACATATCTTATACCAGTGTTCTGACATATCCTTAAATGACCAGGTCTTGTTTTTTCCTTCTCTTAGAAGAAATGATTAAAGTTTAAAAAAAAATGTATATTTGTGGGTTGGGAATATGCATGTGAGTGCAGTGCCCAGGAAGGCCAGAAGAGTCGTGTATCAGATTTTCTAGAGCTGGAATTACAGGCAGTTATGAGCACCCCCACATGGATGCCATGGGTTCTGGGAAACCTAACTCAGGTCTTATGCAAGAGCAGTACACACTTTGAACCACTGAGTCGGCTCTCCAGCCCCAGATCCTGTTTTTCAAATCAGGATGTTTTTGGAGGCTTCCCCCCACTTTGCTCTAGAGCATTGAGATTTGTCTCAACAACACAAAAGAGGCAAGTGAAAAAGCTTGGCTGCTCCAGTGGACACCATTTAGACTGGTCAAAGATCCCAACTTCCTTCGTCAGCCTTTGCTGTAAAAATGGTTATGATTATAGCCTGATTTGATCACTCTACAAGGTAGGCAAGAACTGAAATATCACATTGTACCTCACACACACTGTTAATCCCCAAGATTCAAGGAGAAAGACCACCATCCCAAACCATGGCCAAATTAATTAAAGCAAGCTTTTTTAAAATTTGTGTACATGGGTTGTCTCTCCCTAAGGTGGGGTTCAAGAAGTCAGCATTGGACTTGGGCAAGATAATGGTTTTTATAGCTCAGGGGTATGGGGTTTACAAATGGGGGATTTGGCAGGCAGATGGGCAGGGTTACAGAAGATCAATACAAGGCAGTCATAATAACCCTTTGAATCAAAGGTAGGGTTGCAAGGTGGTCATAACAACTTTTTGAAACAAAGGCATGGTTGCTATTTCCTGGAACGGACAGCACAGAACTATCTGTAGTTAAGGTTACAGGTGGGGCATAAACTAATCTTTGAGAAATAGAGATTTAATCATAAACAAGAATGAACCTAGTTTGTCTTTATTATAAGATGGCTTTCATGTCCAAGATGGAGGCAGGCTGGTTCATCAATACACATGAAATTACTACTTGTCATCAAAAATAAAAGTTGAATAGTTAAAAAAAAAAACCATTAGAGCTGGGTGGTGGTGGCGCACACCTTTAATCCCAGCACTCAGGAGGCAGAGGCAGGCGATCTCTGTGAGTTCAAAGCCAACCTGGTCTACAGAGCAAGTTCCAGGACAGGCTCCAAAGCTACACAGAGAAATCCTGTCTCAAAAAACCAAAAGAAAAAAAAACTATTAGGCATGGTGAAGTTTGCCTATAATCTCAGTACTTGGGAGGTAAAAGCAGAGGGAGCAAAACTTCAAAGCCAAGCTGGGCTCAGTGGCACACACCTTTAATCCCTGCACTCAGGAGGAAGATGCAGGTGGAGCTCTGTGTTTGAGGCCAGCCTGGTTTACAAAGTGAGTGCCAGGCAGCCAGGGCTACACAGTTTGACCTTGTCTCTAAGTAAATAGAAAGAAAAGAAAAAAGAAAGAAGGAAATTCAAAGCCAGCCTCTGCTACATACTGAGGTTAAATCCAGTATAAGATCCTATCTTAATATCCCTTCTCCTACCAAAGCAAGCAAACAACAACCACAAAAACCACACAGCAAAGAACTACTGTCTTCAATAATAGGCCAATAGGATGGGTCTCCTGCTTTCTTTTGTGGGTTTACTGGTACCCCCATTCCTCCTCCATGTCCTGCCCTCCCCGCAAACATCACCTGAGTATTTGTCAGCGTCACATGGATGGCAAGAAGTTTCTCCTTTATTTGAGTAAGAGTTGGCTGGGCAAAGCTTGCAGAAAGAGGAGCCCTGCTTGGCGGCATATGTGCCAGGCTTGCAGGGGAAACATTCTGAAGTGTAAGCCACCCCTAGGGAGAAAGAATGGCATAGAAAATAAAGATTGAGCCGAGACAGCAAGGCCCTGGGGACCAGTGCCCATCCTCCCCTAGAAGCCAAGAGTCCAGGAAGCCAGCAGCAGACCCCAGATCCAAGCTTGTTCTCTGTACCTGTTATAGCAATGTTTCTCACAAGCACAGGCTTGGACACTTTGGACCACACTGAGAAAGCTGTGGTTCTCCAATAGAGGACATTATTCCCTCTGTTTAGCTCAACCTTAAAAAAGACATAAGGTAGATGTTAATTCATCACAAAAATGGGCATTGCTCATTTGCCTCCTTGGTCCTAGAGAGCCTATTCTGAACCCCTTCTTCCTCTTCCTCAGCTTGGCCTCTCGAAGCTTTGTCTTTCTAACCCTCTCCCATGCTTCCCTGATCCTTGATACAAGATCCTTGTATCATATATTCTACAAGCATCTCTAATAGAGATCATAACAGGACCAGAGAGACAGGCAGTAAGGGAGACCGGCATTCCATCATTCTCTGGTTTTATAGAAAACCCAGCCGGGCGGTGGTGGCGCACGCCTTTAATCCCAGCACTTGGGAGGCAGAGGCAGGCGGATCTTTGTGAGTTCGAGGCCAGCCTGGTCTCCAAAGCGAGTTCCAGGAAAGGCGCAAAGCTACACAGAGAAACCCTGTCTCGAAAAAAACCAAAAAAAAAAAAAAAAAAAAAAAAAAAAAAAAAAAAAAAAGAAAACCCAGCCCCAAAGCTGGAAAGCTCTGGCTCCTGGGATGAAGTCACAGGAGCAAACTGGCCACCATACAGCCTAATCCATCAACCATGAGGAGAGGAAGCCCTGAATCTGCCACATCTTAGACTCCTCCCTCCATGGGCGCTGGAGCAGAAGCTCCCCTTTAGGGTCCTTGGCCCCTCCTCTGGGATCTTGGTTGTGGCTGGTGCGATACTCACACTGTGGAATTCCCATCCTTTCTCCGTAGTTTTCAGCCACCTGGAGTCATCAGCATTGGGCTGGCACTGGTCATTCTGGACCTGAGGCAGAAGGGGTTCGGGATGAGAGGCTCAGCTTCCTGAGGAGATGAGGGCCTCACTCCATGCTGCATGGTGCTCTACAACACTGTTCTCACGGAAGAGGCGCTGCCAATTCCCTCTAGGACCAAACTGAGAACGCATAAGCTACACACAACAACATCTGAACACGGACGCCAGAGGAAGAATTTGCAGTTCAGCCACTTGCATGTCATAACAAGTCTGAACAGGATGAAACACCTAGGAATTCACAGGCTCTGTCCTCAACCTCAGTGTCCTGTGCCTTGTGCCCATTCTCCTCAGCTCATTTTGCTTACAGCTTTCTCTAGCGTGAAAACCAAAAAACTTTCCAAACATGGCTATACTTGTGATTGATTCCTATGAACGAATCTGAGCCTCAGCGAGTCCTGACCTCTCTAAACCCTCTCCTCCCTCCCTCTCTCCCTCCCAGCTAGGAGCTTACAAAAAACTCAAAGATGATGCTGGAGTCCGGGTAGTAGTACTCAAAGTTAACTGTGCCAGACTGCTTCAGGTTGACGGCATACATCAGAGTGGCTGTGCATTCGTCTGTGTTGGAAGCGATGTAGTCTCCCCGGGGAACCCACTTGGACCTGTGAAAGAACAGGGACCAAGAGTAATGGCAGGGGCACACCCTACAAGGCTTTGTGCTATGTGTTAGGTTCCATGTTCTCCTGTTGGGGCTTCTGGGAAATTCCAGACTTAGGAGTCAAAAGCTAAAACTTGTACCTTGGTAGTGGTTTGTATGAGCATGGTCCCCAGAGGCTCATATATTTGAACGCTTGGTCCCCGCTTAGTGGAACTGTTTGGGAAGGATTGGAGGTGTGTGTGGCTTTGTTGGAGGAGGTGTGTCATGGGGGTGGGTTTTGAGGTTTCAAAAGCCTATGCCAGGCCCCTCTCTCTCTCTCTCTCTCTCTCTCTCTCTCTCTCTCTCTCTCTCTCTCTCTTCCTCTTTCTCTCTCTCAGCTGTGGATCAGGATGTAAAGCTCTCAGCAACTGCTCCAGTGCCATGCCTGCTTCCCCCCATGATGGTCATGGACTAAACAAGCCCCCAATTAAATGTCTCCTTTTAGGAGTTGCCTTGGTCTAGTGTCTCGTCACAGTAACTAATAAAGATCTGATCGTGCTCAGGGAAGAGTAACAACACCAGGTGCTCTGGGGCAGATCAAAGGGCCTGAGGCACAACCAATAAGAGGAAGACAGTGAAACTAGCTGGGTGTGCCTCCGTGGTGGATGGCAGGCAAAGTCAGCCATGGGAAGCTTTACATCAACCAACCAACTACGAGCTTCGTGTTTCATATTCATGATTTATGTCCATCAGTAACAGGAAGAACCATTTTTTCCATTTAATAGATGAGAAAACTGTGGCTTGGAGAGTACCTTGGCCAGTCCCACAAAGCCTCCAAGTGACAAGTCTGGGGTTCAAATTAAAAACTGCTTAATCCTGCTGGGCGGTGGTGGCGCACACCTTTGATCCCAGTACTCGGGAGGCAGAGCCAGGCTGATCTCTGTGAGTTTGAGGCCAGCCTGGTGGTCTACAGAGTGAGTTCCAGGACAGGCACCAAAAACTACAGAGAGAAACCCTGTCTCGGAAAAAAAAAAAAATCCAACAACAAAAAAACAAAAGAAAAAAACTGCTTAATCTCAAAGTTGTCAAGATCCATAAACAAATATATCTCAGAGAACTCGGAAGTTCATCCAGTCTAACCCCACTTGTTTTTCCGGAAACACCACCTTACAATGCTACAGTACACCATTTTCCTCAGAAGCCGGTGGCAGGAGAACCAGAGATGGTCAGTCCTGTCATGTGTGTTCCGACTCACTCTATCCACTGGCCCAGTGGCTCCTCCTCGTTCTCTACCACATGATCTCTCGAATAGCCTTTATTTTGTGTCTGGCCCTGCACCCTCCAGTCCCTCTCCACACTATGGTTGGAAACGTCCAGAAGGAAAACATGACCGAATCACTTCAGTGCTCTAAACCGTGAAGATTCCCTGTTGCTCTTAGGATAGAGCGCCCATTTCCAGGCCTACACTTTCTATGGCAGACCTATGGAATTTCTCTCAGTTCCTGTGCCAAACTTTCTCTTCCCCTGGGTCTGGCCTCTCCCTCAAACCAGCTTCTTCCTCCTTCTCTTTGGTCGATTCTTCCTCCAGTCTTATAATAAATAAATAAATACTATGATAGGATGTGATCATTAAATAAATGCTACGTAATGCTAAGAAGTCATCCTTGTGTCAAGCATGGCCATGCACACCTTTAATCCCAGTACTTCAGAGACAGGCGGATCTCTGTGAGTCCAAGGCCATCCTGGTCTACAGAGTGAGTTCCAGGTCAACCAGGGATATAGTGATAACCCTGTCCAAAAATAAAAGTGTCCCTTGACTTTATCTGCTTCTGCAAGAACGCCTTGAGCTTTGTCTGTTTTCTTTCCAGAATTACAAATCTACCTTAAAAATTTAATATATTATCAACCACTTAAGAACTATGCATAGATAAAATAAGCATACATTCATCTATCTACTGCATAGTTTAAGAAATCCAACACAGTGTAGCTTTCATAGCGTTGGAAGGTTGCCACGCAGGTTGTTGGGGGAAAAGTCATCAGTGACATAGAAAGTCACATAGATGTTCCATTTAGGGCTGTCAACCTTGGTCAGAGAAGCTTCTTTTTGCAGTGGGCAAGAGTCAATTCAGAGACTCGCAGCCGGTCAAAGTGCCGAGAGCAAGTGACGGTTGAATGTTCAGCGGAACGTCTATACGACTTTCTCTACCAAGAGCGGGGAACGTTGTGGAAGAGGAGGTTAAAAAAAATGTAAGAACCAGAGGATGGGGAGGGATGCTGTGAAATTCTGTCTCTTGGACATGGCATGAGTATTGTACTCAAAACTCATAGTAGCTGTGGTTGCCTGTTCAAGATCAAGCCAGTCAACATTCCAGCATGGAGGAGGGTGAGGGAGATGAAGCTCCACCCCTAGCTAAGGAGTTATAGGAGGGGGTCATTTTTCTTTATGGGTCTAACCTCCGGTAAGTCGCCTCTGATCTATAAATAACGTCCATGCTTGCCACATGCAAACAGCTCTAATTAAACTGGGTCTCATAGAGACAGAGGTAGATAAATATTTATCTCACATGTTTGGGAATAAGAGAAGTTCCGAAGGGAGTGGAAAGGGTTTAAAGGGTGGCCATGGGTGATGAATGTCTTCAAAATACATTACGCATATAAAATTGTCAAAGACTAAATACACATTATTGAAAGCAAAGCAAAGCAGTCAAGCGCAGCAGAAGCCACTATGTGCCTTCGCCAGCTCCTCCCCTTTCTTCTAGCATTTCTCTCTCCAGCTACCAAGAGGGATGGTGTACTTGAATCTGCTACTTAACGTTCTCATGAAGTTCTTTGTCTGTATCTCTAAGCAACACACTGCCTTGTGGTGTTTGGCATGTTTTTAAATGCCATGAAAATGGTATCATACTTTATTTTCCAAAGCTTAGTCGGGGGGAAGGTTTGTATGTAATGGTGTGGGATTCATCCAAACTCATGCATATAGCACTTCTTTTTTTTTTTTTTTTGGTTTTTTTTTTTTTTTTGGTTTTTTGAGACAGGGTTTCTCTGTGCAGCTTTGCGCCTTTCCTGGGACTCACTTGGTAGCCCAGGCTGGCCTTGAACTCACAGAGATCCGCCTGGCTCTGCCTCCCAAGTGCTGGGATTAAAGGCGTGCGCCACCACCGCCCGGCCGCATATAGCACTTCTTTCTGTGGGGTGTGTGTGTGTGTGTGTGTGTGTGTGTGTGTGTGTGTGTGTGTGTGACCCAGGGTCTGATCTATGCTATATTTGTGCTCTTTCGCTGAGCTATACACTCCTAGCCCTTCCTTTTATCTGCTCTCTAATAGTCTTTACTCTACTTCATTATTTATTTACTTACTTACCATCTCTATTTACAGCTGCTGGACATTCAGAGTGCTTCTAGGTTTTTTGTTTTGTTTTTACTACTGTTCACTCTCTGCTGTAAACACTCTTGTTTCTGTGTTCTTAGACACGTCTGATCCGAGTGCTCGGGGGCAGTTGCTGGCTCATAGGGTGCAAACTACCAGCTTTACTGCCACCTTGCCCGCTACTGCCACCTTGTTCCCCAAACAGTGTGTCAATTTACACCAGCTGGCAGTGCAAGAGGCTCCCTGTCCTCCACATCCTCTACAGACTTGGAACTAAAGACTTTATGTTATGACGTGGTGGGGAGTGTTTTAGTGTCGAGCTGGGCTTTAAATCTTTCTTCCTTGATTGCTGGTGAAGCTGTGCATGTTTTCTGAAGCTTTCTTGCAATCTGGTGTCCTCTTCCAGCCATACTTTAATTCTTCATCTACCTGTCCTCCTGGCTAGCCTGTGGATTCTGAGAGGACAGAAACCAACCATGTCTCACAGAATAACGTATCCCTCAGTCTCCAGCTCTGGGCCCTGGCACCCAGGGACCTCAGGGGATCAAACAAATAATGGGAGAAAAGGGCAAATGAGACAATTCTGCAGTTTCTGTTTTGCCCGAGACTAGCCCAAGACTCCCAGCTGCTTCACAGTTTAAGAGAATCTTAAGCTACTACATTTGTTTCCCCATGTCTGCCCAACCCACATAGTCTTACAATCAACTGTCATGTTTGTTTGTTTGTTTGTTTGTTTTTGAGACAGGGTTTCTCTGTGTAGCCCTGGCTGTCCTGGAACTCACTCTGTAGACCAGGCTGGTCTTGAACTCAGAGATCCACCTGCCTCTGCCTCCTGAGTGCTGGGATTAAAGACGTACACCACAACTGCTCAGCAACAATCAGTATTATAATCAAAATGGAAACAAATCAAATTCTTCCAAAATGACCCAGCTAACTTAACAGTGTTGAAAGAGACATTTAATGCTAATAAACTCCGTGGTATCAGCTATAATTAACTCTTGAAGTTTGATGAATAATTAAAAAGAATGCCGTAAGGGGGTTACATTTGCAAAGTGCATCACAGTTTTGGTGTTTGCTGGTGTTGTCCCTGTGAAGACACTTCATAGTCAGTAATACCAACATTTGATTGATTTCTTTTCTTTTTTTCTTCCAGAGCTGAGGATCGAACCCAGGGCTCTACCACTGTGCTAAATCCCCAGCCCTTGATTTCTAATGCCAGAGCCATTGCTCTAGATCCCTCTCCTCAATCCCTGATCGGTGCTGGGGATCTGGAATTGGATCCAAGGCCTTGAATGTGCTGGCACATGTCCTACCACTATGCTACACATTCTAAGCCTTTGCTGTCATCTTAAAATTCCTTTAAATGTATTTATTTTATGTATGAATGTATATCTGTGCACTACATGAATGCCTCATGCCTGCAGAGGTCAGAGAGGGCACTGGATTCCCTAGAACTAGAGTTACAGATGGTTGTGAGCCATCATGTGGGCATTGTGACTCTAACCCAGTCCTCTGGAAGAGCAGCCAGTGCTCTTAACTACTGAACCATCTCTCCAGCTCACCTTTGTTTTTTTTTTTTGTTGTTGTTGTTGTTTTTTTGTTTTTTTTTTGTTTTTTTTTTCGAGACAGGGATTCTCTGTGTAGCTTTGCGCCTGTCCTGGAACTCGCTTTGGAGACCAGGCTGGCCTCGAACTCACAGAGATACGCCTGCCTCTGCCTCCCGAGTGCTGGGATTAAAGGCGTGCGCCACCACGGCCCGGCTCACCTTTGTTTTCTTAAGATAGGGCCACACTATGCAGCCCCAGCATGAAACTCTCTATCCTCCCACCCCAACGCCCCAAGTGCTGGGTTCAGAGGTATATGTCAGAACACACACATGGTGTCTGAGTTAAGGTTTCTATTACTGCGAAGAGACACTATGACCATGGCAACCCTTATAAACGAAAACATTGAACTGTTTCAGAGGCCTAGTCCATTCTCATCATGGCAAGAAGAATGTCAGCATGGTGCTAGAGAAGGAGCTGAGAGTTCTACATCTTGATCCACAGGCAGCAGAAGGAGACTGTGTCCCACACTGGGCACAGCTTCAGTATGTAAGACCTCAAAGTTCCTCCTCACAGTGACACACTCCCTCCAACAAGAACACACCTACTCCAACTAGGTCACACCTCCTAATAGTGCCACTCCCTATGGGCCAAGCATTCAAACACATGAGTCTATGTGGGCCATTCCTATTCAAACAACCATACGTGGGTATAACTTTTACATGTACATTCTTATTTAATCATTACTACATTCTTTAAGAACAGTACTATTAGCTAGGCCTGATCGGTACACGCTTTTAATCCCAGAACTTGGGAGGCAAAGGCAGGTAGATCTCTGAGTTCAAGGCCAGCCTGGACTACACAGAGAAAACTTGTCTTGAAAAACAACAACAAGAAGAACAGTACTATTTTTAGCACCATTGTTTGTTTTTAAGATATTCTCACAGTGTACCCCTGTTTGCCTGGCACTCACTGTGGAAACCCGTCAGCCCTTGAACTCACAGAGGTCCACTGGCCTCTGCCTCTTGAGACCCGTGATTAAAGGTGTGCACCCCCACACCCAGTTTTATCATCGTTTTTTAAGAGGAGGAAATTGAGGACTAAGGTTAGATTAGCCAAGGGCCAGTCAGCTGTGAGCTTGTTCATGGTTACTATTTGGCCTGCTGTTCTTTCTCATCCACTAATACCCAACACCATATCCCATGCTGTGCTGGTTAGTTTTAAGAGTCAACTTGCCGGGTGATGGTGGCGCACGCCTTTAATCCCAGCACTCGGGAGGCAGAGCCAGGCGGATCTCTGTGAGTTCGAGGCCAGCCTGGGCTACCAAGTGAGTTCCAGGAAAGGCGCAAAGCTACACAGAGAAACCCTGTCTCGAAAAACCAAAAAAAAAAAAAAAAAAAAAAAAAAAAAGAGTCAACTTGACAAACATAATATAGAATCACCTGGAAAAGACTTTGTTAAAAGTTTGTATGTGAGTGAGTGCTTTGCCTGCACATGTATTAGCACACCATGTGTGCAGTGCCCATGGAAATCAGAAGAGGGCACAGGTTCACGGGGTGACAGACAGTTGTGAGCTATCACGTGGGTGCTAGTGACTGAACTAGGTCCTTTGTAAGAATGTCAAGTGCTCTTAACCACTGAGCCATCTCTCCAGCTTCCAGGAAGTGAGTCTTCATAAGGAAGTATCCAGATCAGGTTGATCCGAGGGCGTGTCTATGGGGGATGTAGAAGGAGCAGACCATCGTGAGCTGCACTATTCTCTAGGCCATGGACCCTGCATTGTGTAAGAGGGCAGAAAGCTAAGCATAAGCAAGCAAGCACGTCTGTGTTTGTTTCTCTCTGCTCTCGGCTGTGAATATGATAAGAATAGCTGTTTCAAGTTCCTATCGCCTTGCTTCTCAGTGATAGACAGTAACCTGGAGTTGTGAGTAGAAATTAACATGTGTCCCACACACCATCCGCCTCCACACAAGTTGCTGTTTGTCAGGGTATTTTATCACAGCAACAGAAATCGAACTAGAACACTTCTTCTTTACTCCGATTCCCTCTCGAGACCTCTGTCTGACGGCCGATTGTTTCCAGTGTCTTTGTCCTGTGACCTACGCCCAGGCCATGGATGACTCTGGGGTTCCTGACAGACATGGAGACTGTTCCTTTTGTCTGTCCTCTTCCCCGTGATTAGTTCTGTGTCAGGTTTGTGGCAAATGATATATTAGATGCTGGAGACACAGCAAAGACCAAGACACACTCGGTCCTCTCCTGCTTAGGGCTTGAATTCTGTTCCTAGTTGAGGGAACAGAAATTTAACTAATACAATTAATCACACAGGAACACCATGCTAAGCATGGTGACAAGAATGACAAGGTGACACCAGAGTCTGTTTTAGGAGTCTCCTGGTCCGGGGGCGGTTTCTTTGAGGAAGTGACCTTTACTCTGAGACATAAGAGCCAAATAAGACAGCTAGGAAAAGGCCCACAGAAGAGCTACTCAAAGGTTCCAGGGGGAAAGCACCCTTGCAGCTGGTGTGGCCACAGCAAGGAAGATGTTCAAGAGATGCAGACAAAACGGGCAGAGAGCAGAGTCGAACAGTCGCCTCCTTGGGCTGTGGGAAGTTACTGGATCTTATCCCAAGAGCAACGGGTGGCCTCAGAACCCAGAGTTCTGAGCAGGAAACTATTGTGTTTGGATGTGTATTTGTCATTCTGGCTGCTGGGTGGACAGGGCCTGGAGGAGGCAGGAAGGGGAAGCACAAGAGCTGTTGGGAGGGTGCAAGGTGGATCAGGCAGGGGGGATGCTGGTCCAGCTCAGTGGGAAGTAAGTGGGGTTGCACACAGGAAAGCCAAAGAGCTGTGTTTGTAGCATCAGCTCAATTACTGACTTTTGAAATCTCTCCAGGTGTCCATTTCTACAGAAGAGAAATCCTCTCTCACTCCCAAAGACATTTCTGGATGCCTTAAGATCCAGTCTCCAGGATGGTCTAAGCTGTTATTAATCTACACACATCCTGCCACAGTGAGAGATAATGATTTCTACCCCTCCCGCTGCAGTCCCCAGAGACAGGTGGGACCCTTCCTCTTCCTGGGTTGAGAAGTGATGGAGTGGATAGACTGATCATCTGTATCTCGTCCCACGTCAAATGACATTTGATATTAGGGCTCACACAGGATGGGGGCCAGACTGTTTTAACCCATAGTCCCTCCATTTCTCACTTGCATCTTCTCTAGTTCTATAGCTGCCCCCTCCCAAGTTATTGTGACATGTAAACTTGAACTCTAAAGTAATATTAAAATTGGATGATTGGCTGGGCATGGTGGCGCATGCCTTTAATCCCAGCACTTGGGAGGGGGGCAGAGGCAGCTGGATCACGGTGAGTTTCTAGGCCAGCCTGGTCTACATAATGAGTTCTAGGCCAGCTAGGTTTTAGAGAGATCTTTTCTCAATAAAAACAAACAAATAAAATATAATTGGATGATTAAATGTCTGCTGTGTGGTTCAAACACTGGTCCTTCTGAGAGATTTAAGGATAGGTAGGAATGAGAACTAGCATGGGTAAGGCCCCAGGTTCAACCTCCAGCAGCAAAAACTAACTTCGAAATGAGAAATCCAAGTGTAACGCAATTCTTTGGTCCTTTTAGTCCATTTGCTTGCTTTGGTATAAAAGAATATTTTTCCCCTCTCATACTTATTGTCAGAATTGCTTTGTGTAACTGTCTATTCTGATGTTTTCTTCCCTGGAGCCCGACACGACCTGTCACATAATCATGTGATTTGAAGGGGGCAGTGCAGAGCAATAGAAAGCTTGGGACTGTGGCTGAGTATCAGTTTCACCAGTTTCGAGCTAGGAAACTAAGATGGAATGCTTAACCTCACTGGGCCTCCAGTTTTTCAGTCTGCAATGGAAATCACGATGCCAATTTCACTGGGCTCCTGTGTAGATTCAAGAAAAACCTTTTATAAAGAACATCCAGCACAGGGCCAGGTCCCTGAAAGGCACACCTGGAATAAATATTTGGTTGTCTAGCCCTCCACCCCCGTGGGGAGGGGGCACTGAGCTTTTTCAATGACTGACAAAGGTCTCCCAAGCTGGGAATTTTCCTGGTTACTGGGATGTGGTGGAGACTGGCCCCCTCAGACTCATATAAGTGAATCCTTGGTCCCTAGGTGGTGGAACTGTTTGAGAAGGACTGGGAGGTGTGGATTACATGTAAGATCTCAGCTGCAGCTCCAGGGCCATGCATTGCCTGCCTGCTGCAGGGACTCACCCTCTGAAATGCTAAGCAAGCTCCCCATTAAATGCTTTCTTTTATAAGTTGCCTTGGTCATCGCGTCTCTTCACACCTATAGAAAAGTAACTAAGACATAGGGTCTCAAGGGGGTTAGAAGCTCTCATTCGTGAGCCCCTCCAAACCCACAACAACATGCCATGCAAAGCCAGTTTTAGACGTTTGGCACCAAAGCCAGCGAGACGACCAACACTTTGTACGTTGTGTTCTAATGGGGTTAATGAAGTTTATTTGCTGACTCAAAATTCCACAGAGGAAATCCAATTGGATTTTGTTTGAACCCAGCTGGGCCATTAGATGCTTGTCATCCCTTATGTACCTGCCTCTATTTCTTTAAGTGTTTCCCTCTCACAGATGTCTGCCAGTCAGCGGTAAGCCTAGGTTAGAATGGGTCAAGGGAGCAGTCACGTCCAGGAGTCTCCACTCCCACCCCCACGTCCAGGGAGTGTGGTATTCTCCTCCCACCTGCCTCAGGAACATCACAGACAGTGCCCAGGATGCCCTGCGGCCCCTTCCCCAGGAGACTTGTGCGCTGGCTCCCAGACTCACGAAGTGCAGTTCTCCGTGGACGCAGAGATGCTGTCATCGACTTCCAAGTTGGCCGAGAGGCTGGCAAAACCATGAGGCAACTCATCCCACTCATCAAACCGGATGCCAGTGCCAAGGGAGTAGCGGCCCTCTGCGCAGGGCTTGCAGGACTGGTCCTTCATATCCAAAAACTCTCCGGCATTGCAAGAGAAAGCTGGAAAGCAGGGGAGGGACAGGGAAGGGGTGCTGAGGTCACTGTGGTCTCTGGAGGGGTGATGGGGTTGGAGGCAATCTAATGCCAGGACTTCAGGGTCAGGATCTAGGGGTCTGGACCACTAAAATTTAGGACTAAGGAATGTCTTGTGTGATGATATTTATATGGAATGACCACAAGAGTAAAGTCATAGAGACAAAAGGCAGATCTGTGGTTGCCATGGAGACTGCAGAGAGAACTTTCTTTTCAGTCTCTAAATGCCCCCAAAATGTGAATGGTGAAGAGTTGCTGGAAACAGTTGGGCGGAGGTGGTACATGCCTTTAATCCCAGCACTCAGGAGGCAGAGGTAGGTGGATCTCTAGTTCTAGGACAGCCAGAGAAACCCTGTCTCAAAAAACAAACAAACAAACAAACCCATAAAAACAAAACATGAAAACAACCACAAAAAAGAGTTGCTGCAAAGATTCTAGCATCCCTGAAATTTGCCTAACAAGGGGTGGGATTTACGGTCTGTAAGAAGTGGCATCTTGAAGGTATTATAGCAGATTTCCACAGCTTTATCCATCAAAAATCAGAAAAAGAAAAAAAAAAAAAAAGAAGAAGAAGTGGCATCTTTGGAGGCAGAGGGGGAATTGTTGTAAGTTCAAGATCAGCCTTGTCCATACAGCAAGGTCTAGGCCAGCCAAGGCTACACAGGAATCCTTTCTCAACTGAGAAAAATAAAACAACCCAGCAAAAGTAGTTGTGTCTCAATAAAGCTGATATTTTCAAAAAGAAGAAAGGATTATAAAGTCAGACAAGGTGGTGACTTGCCAGTAATCCTACCATTTGGGAAGAGAAGGTGGGAAGTTCAAGGCCAGCCTCATTTATATGAGACCCTGGAAAGAAAGAAGGAAGGAAGGGAGGGTCGGAGGGAGGGAGGAGGGGGGAGGGAGGGAGAGAGGAGGGAGGATGGAGGGAGGGAGGGAGGGAGGAAGGAAGGGAGGGAGGGAGGAAGGAAGGGAGGGAGGGAGGGAAGGAGGGAAGGAGGGAGGGAGGGAGGGAGGGAGAGAGGGAGGGAGGGCGGACCAGACACTGTGCTAAACTGAGGTTGGAATTTGAATGTCTGGTTTTAGTCTCCTTTGAACTCATTCAATGATCCCTCCACTCTAGTCCGGATATTTATTGTTATTCCCTTTGCATTCCTACGAGAACAGGGCACAGGGGAGCTAGAAAGCTGTAAAGGCTGAGTCATAGAGGGGGGTGGGAGCCGCAGCCACTGCCCTTCCGGTCACATTCCAAGAGTTTTACTCCCTGAACTGATGCTCAGTGCATTTAAAGAGCCTGGACTTGCGCAAGTTCATTTTCTTCAGCTTCTCTTTTCACAAACAAAAGCAAATTGCAATATTGCCTCAACACTGCTGAGGCAGGTAGGTGCAAATCACAGAGAAATGCACAGACAGGCAGAAAAAGAAAAAAGGCACACTGAGTGGCAGACATCTAGAATTGTTTATATTGTACTCATCGGATCTGAATTAAAAAATAAAGCAAACTCAGATACTCAGTTTGAATCTATTAAATAACATTTATTTTGCTTGCTTGCTTTTGTTTTTAGGTTTTTGAGACAAGGTCTCTCTCTATAGTCCTGGCTGTCCTAAGCTCACTCTGTAGACCAGGCTGGCCTCTCACTCACAAGAATCCACCTGCCTCTACCTCCCAAGAACTAGACTTAAAGGCCTTTGCCACCACACGTGGCTAAATAAGATTTCTGCACCACATTCCAGAAGGGTTGGGGGTGGAACTAACTGGAGGACAGATCTGGCGTCTATCCCGGCAGGAAGAGCCTGGCTTGTGTGGCTAGAGGCTTGGGTTCGAGGTCAGGCCTAAGTATCAGGGAGCCCCTGGGACAGGAAGGCTGCTTACAGCACTCGGTGCCCTTGACGGGGTCGGGGAGGCTGGTGCACAGGCCTGGGGTGTGCGGCACGGCGACCCTCCACCTGGAACCGGTACTATCACACGCCGTGTACTCATAATGGTACTCTGACTGCAAGGGAAAGAGCGGAAGGCAGAGGGTTCATCGTCAGTGACGAAACATTGACAGTTTCCTGCCCAGCATGAGGGCTACTGGCACCCTTCGTTATAGTGACGGCCCAAGGACCCTGGCACCCAAAGATTCCAAGGCCCCTAGGAGAACTACATTAATTTCAATCATTTTCCCCCTCGACCTGGCTGTGGTCCAGCCCCTCAGAAGTACATTGGTGCGTGTATGTGATTCTCTTTGCTGTTGTGCACACATCATGTCCCCTGGAGGGGAGGAATGGGGTGACTAAGGATAGACTAAGGTTAGCCATGCAGCTCAGCTGGTCGAGTGCTTGTACAGCACGCTCACAGCGCTCAGTTTGAGGAGTAGAAGTCCAAGGTCAGCCCAGGGTACGTAAGGCTGTCCCCAAACCCAAAACAAACAACAATAGCAACTAAAAATAGGAGTTTTTCTTGTCCAAGCAGTAGAATTCAAGAACAAGGACATTCTAAATGGAAAGGCTGGCGCGCGCGCACACACACACACACACACACACACACACACACACACACACATAAGCGATTGTCACACAGAGTTTTATTCCCAGCTCTCCTTCTGCACAAAAGGACTCTGAAAACTCCCATCGCATCATAGAAACGTCATCTTTAGCCCAGCAGGGGAGGTGCTGCCTTCACGCACACCTGTACGCATTTCCCCGTGCTAGGCCACTCGCTGTCCAGCAGCTTCCCCTGGAGCAGAACAGTCCAATACCGGCAGCATCGCCCGCAAATCAAGCATGTAGCGAAACACCAGGAAGCACTACTCGAGCAAGGGGACACAGCTGATGAGGCAAGCACCTCGGTATTTCTAGTCCTTCAGGCCGCCCATCAAACGGCCAACGGATGGCTTTTTTTCGGAGAAGTGTTTCACGGTCCTGATCCCTTTTGTTCTGCCGAGTGTTTCACGGTCCACGCTTATCGCGTATAAGCAAAGCAGGATGAATGTCCCCCCTTTCCAGCCACACAAAAGCAGGACCCTACAGCACGCATGATCGCCAGGAGCTGAGGCTGACCACCAGACAGGCTGAAGTCTGCTGAGCTAGCCTATCCAAGTTTACTTTTGTAAAAAGCATAGTCTGTGTTAGCTGTCCTAAGACACGTAACCTTTCCACTTAACATCTATAAGACCGAAGTGCTGAGACGGTAAAGAAGCACTGTGCCATATTTGAACTGACTGCAACTTTTTCTCAGGTGCTAGGTTTGAAAAACGGTGTGTCTTCTCAGAAGCAGCAGGATCTCAGGTTTGCTGAAACATGGTGAGCGCGGTGTTTCCAATTCTGGGACTCCAGAAACTTAGTAGGAAGAAAGAACTATTGTAGACTATGTTTTTCTTTTCCTCCCTTGTAAATATTTGCCAAATACATTTTGTCAGCCCAGCACAAACAAGTCCAAGCTGGACCAGTGTGACTTGGGCGGCAACCTGAACTTGACATTTTCACCTTCCGGAAGAAGATGCAGAACGGAAGATCGGCATATTGTGGCCTTAATGTTTGGTTTGTTTATTTGTTTGTTTGTGACAGGGTCTCACACAGCCCAGGTTGAGTCTGGAACTGTGCGTATTTTTTATTTTATTTTTGTGTATATGAGAGCTCCGCTTGTCTGTCTGTTCACCACGCACATGCCTCATACCCACAGAGTCCAGAAGGCATCATCAGGTCCTCCGGAACTGGCCTTACAGATGGTTGCGAGTCTGGGAATTGAACCTGGGTCCTCGAAAAGAGCAGTAAGGGCTCTTAACTGCTGACCCATCAGCCCTGAACTCCCTTTTTTTAAAAATTACACTGATTTGTCATGTGTGTTCATGTGTGAGTGGGTGCATGTGATGTGGTGTACATGTGGAGGCCAGAAGACAACTCGGAAAACTCAAGTTCTATTCTCCCACCATATGGGTCCGTCTTAGTTAGGGTTACTATTAGTGTAATAAAGCACCATGACCCAAGCAGCTGGTGGAGGAAAGGGTTTATTTGGCTTCCATTTCCATATCAGTGTTCATCATCGAAGGAAGTCAGGACAGGAACTCAAACAGGGCAGGAACCTGGAGACAGGAGCTGATGCTGAAGTCATGGAGGGGAGCTGCTTACTGATTTGTTCCCCGTGGCTTATTCAGCCTGCTTTCTTATAGAACCCAGGACCACCAGCCCAGGGGTGGCACCACTCGTAATGGGCTGAACCCTCTCCTCAGTCACTAATCAAGAAAATGCCTTACAGGTTTGTTTACAGCCTGATCTTATGGAGGCATTTTCTTAATTGAGGTTCCCTCCTCTCCGAGGACTTTAGCGTGTGTCAAGCTGACGTGAAACTATGCAGCACAGGGTCCCAGGGATTGAACTCAGGTTGTCAGCTTGGCAGCAGGTGCTTTTACTGAGCCATCTGGTGACCGACCCTAGCCTTGGATTCTCTACATAGTCAAGGATATCCATGAATTCCCAGATCTTCTTGCCTTCACCCTCAAATGTTGAGATTTACAGATGTGCACCACCACACCCGGCTTCTGAAGCTTAATATTTTATCAGAATTTATGGCTTTGGATTTAAATGTCAGTTTCACCAAAGACCATCAGGATGGGGATTATTTTGTGCCCAGGGTTACTATCTCTCTGGGTCTCCTTTTCTTCATGGTTTTAGTTGTTTCCTTGTCTCAGAGATAAATATCCTGTTGCTGGGGGATAAGTAGGCCAACTAAATGTATGGTGAGTTCAGTTCTAAAAATGATACTTTCAAAGGGTCTTGTTACAAGAACAAGGGTTAAATAAAATCCACAGTATGCATATTCAGTAGAGATTTGGTAATGAGGCAGAAGGGACTCTAGCCGTGAACCCGATGGCCCCGGCCATTTGTGTAGCTTTCGGGAGTTTCCAACGCCCACCTCATTTGAGCTTCACAGCTCCCTAGGAGGCAAACAGAGCAGAGACTGTTTTCTCCATTGTAACGTTGACTGTCCATGGGATGAAATGGCTAGCGTGTCCAAGGTCACACAACCTGTAAGTCACTGAGCTAGAACTCAGAGCATGCCAGCAGGAATCCTCTCCCATTTCCATAGGCCCGACCAAACACAACATTCACACTGGGCCAAATTGCACAGTCAAGTCTGAAAGTTAAGTATGATGCTATCAGTCATCTGCCAGCGGCCAAGCGAAGTTCACTTCTGAGGCCCGAGAATTGGTGTTAAAATAGCTAATCTACTCAAGCAGATTGTTTTAATTCTCTCTAGTTGCATTTGGCCTTTTGGAGGCACACGGGCCAGATCCATTCCTTCCCACTGGCTTTCATCTGCTCTCACCAGGTGCTATGATGAGGCTGAGAGATTCTCTGGGAGAGTGGTAGTTCTGAGCCTTTTAATATGTGTTAATTTTCTTCAAGCCACTTGGGGAGAGTCACAGCATCCCAAGATGCCAGCTCTGCTGCAGCTGTTTGCAAACTCCACTGGGCTTTAAGATCCCACGGTGAAAGACGAGCTTAGACATCGTTAGAGCAGTGGGTACCTGGCGGGTTTCCTCAGTTCCGCTCAGTGTCCTGTGAGGATATCAATTCCTCAAGGATGTTAGTGACTTTTCTCATTGCTGTGGCCAAAGAGCTGGCGAAGAGCAGTTTAAGGAGCCGACTTCAGTTTGTGTTCCGAGGTTATACGGTCCGTCTGTGTGGGGATGACTCGGCAGTAGGGACGCTAGACTGCTGGCCCCCGTGCCAGTGGACCGGAAGGCAGAGAAAAGGGAATGCCGTCCCCCACCCGGGTTTCTCCTTTCCCCTCCTTATTCAGACAAGGACCCCAGCCCACGTGCTGGTGCCTGTCACCTTCCGTGTGGGTATTCCCTTCCGTTCACCGTCTCTAGATGTTTCTTCACAGATGCACCACTCAACCGTGTGCCCACTAATGTCCTAGGCATCTCTTTCCAGAGTTTTTCAATGGTATGTGTGTAAATGCTTCGCCTTCCTGTATGTATGAGCACCACGGGCGTGCCTGTGCCTGAAGAGGTGAGACAAAGGTGAGAGATGGTTCCCCTGCAACTGCAGTCACGTGGGAGCTGGGACTCGAACCCAGGCCCCCTGTAAGAGCAACAGAAGCCCTTAACCACTGAACCATCCCTCCAGCCCCATGTCCTAGACATTTCTTAATTCCCTCAATTTGACACAACTCACTATCAAATCAACAGCATCTCAATTACCCAGTCATCTGCTTTTGAACGTGTACAGTTGGCATACTACACAGATTAACAAAGGACAGACAGACAGACAGACAGACAGACACACGCACACGCACACACTCAGTAATCTGGCCAGCACATAACTTCTCCCTCCCTCCACACATAGGTATCCGACACACATCTAAACTTCAGTGTCAAGCACAACAGAAATTAGTTATGCCCTGTTCCTAGAGAAGTAATAAAAGAATTTAGAAATGAGGGTGGGGACTTTTTATTAATCCATGCCCCATTCCCCACCACCCAACCAAGTAATGCTCCTGGGCCCTCAGGAAAGGAAAGAGGAGAGCCTTCTCGCTGGAGTTCAGGTTGCCTAACATTGAACTATCTGTTGGTAGCTTTATAACTCATTCACTTGATGGGCGGTGGTGGTGACACCTGCCTTTGATCCCAGCACTCAGGAGGCAGAGGCAGACAGATCTCTGTAAGTTCAAGGCCAGCCTGGTCTATAGAGTAAGTTCCAGGACAGGCTCCAAAGCTACACAGAGAAACCCTGTCTCGAAATGCCACCACCACCACCACCACCACCACCACCACCACCACCACCACCACCACCACCCCGCACAAAAAAAAAAGAATTCACTCACATAATATTCTTAGTCCTTACTATCCAGGTATTAAACGCACTTATGGAAGAAAATATCAGCAGGTCAGGATGGTAGCTGAATGGAAATCTGTCCTTCCTGAGCTAGAGATGCCACTCAGTTGGTAACAATGTTTGCTCTGGGATCCATCTCCAGTACCGCATATACTGTATGGTGTGGCGG